GGTCCGAGGACACGGAGAAGCCATATTTTCACTAGACCATTTTAGGGGAAGCTTTTTCTTTATCTTTTTAGGGGAAGCTTTTACTTTATGCGCTCTGGCAGACATGTTAAAAGACAGACAGGGTGTTAGGTCCTCGCCCTAAATCTATCCGCTAATTGGCGCTCACAGAAATATTTAGCAGCTTTTTAATAGAATACAGTCAAACCTGAATTAAGCGGACGCCCTCTACTAAGAGAACAGCAGTGCAAGTCCAATTTTTTCTTCTCCTACGTTTACTGTGAAAAAAAAACCCTGCATTCAGCGGACAACTCTATTAAGGCGGGGGGTTAACGTGAAGGCCATATTTTTGCTGGGTATGATGGTTTTAACGCAAGTATATCTTGTTCACGTTTCAAGCAGTGAAAAATCTCTCTTCTCATTTCACATAGCTACGTTTTGGGCTAGTTTGTAAATTTTTTGGTGATTTTTGGGTATATTTGGGGATAAATAGTTTTTCTCAAAGGATTAGTAAAATTTATGGAAATAGGAAATTTTGAAGATTTGATGTTGTTTTAAAATTAGAATTTGAAGTTAGAAATTGGTAGACGTACACCAAACAGTTGCCCACCCCCTTTTTATCCTTTTAATCCCTCTTTAAACTTCCTAAAATTTCACTTAAATTCATGTGTACCCCCGCCTTAAGCGGACGCGGACAGGTTAAACTTGATTTTATAGTCATTTCCATCATTAGAAACCTGTATCAAACGGACACTGTATGCAAGCATGCATGCATTTTTTTTTTGTCCACGTTTCAATAGATCGGTCATTTAAGTTTGCCAAGAAAGAGCTTTTTTTGATTTGACAGAACGTTTGCTCTTGTTTAACTTTGTGAATCTTAAAATAATTCGATCGATATAGATATTGTTGCTATATACTTAAAACGCTTTACCACACATACTTGTCATTGTTCGGGGAAGTACGGTATTGCAGAGTTATCGACTGTTCAATTCATTTTTCAAAGTGCGACCCATTTTTCCAGGTGTGACCCCACTGTGACCCTCTTTTTGTCCAAGTTTGTCTAATTTTTTCAAGTGTGAACCATTTTTTCAAGTGTGAACCACTTTTTCAAGTGTGAGCCACTTTTGCAAGTGTGACCCATTTTCCCACGTATGACTCATTTTTCCAAGTTTGACCCATTTTTCTAAGTGCGACCCATTTTTCCAAGTGTGATCCATGTTTCCAAGCGTGACCCCATTTTTCCAAGTGTGGCCCATTTTTCCAAGTGTGACCCATATTTCCAAGTGTGACCCACTTTTCCAGGTGTGACCCATTTTTCCAGGTGTGACCCA